CGCACACACACACACACAAGTAAAAATTATATTAGGCTGAGTCCAGATGAGCCAAGTATGGTAACGCAAGGAAACGCCATCAGAGGAGCCGTCTGTCCCGGCAGCATCAGGTCTTCCACACTAAGTCAGGGCGCTCATTGGAGGGGGAGCATAGGCCTCCACCTATAGAGCGCCCAGGAAGCTACAGTCGACCACCGCTCCCGGGGCAGAGGGCCCCTGCAGAGGAAACACTGGATTAAAATGAGTAAAAATGTAATAAAAGAGCTAATATAAATGACAAAAATTAGAAAATAAGTAATAAATAAAATGATATAAACAGTAAAATAATAATTTAAATAATAAAACTGTGCTAAAATATAATCATATAGAACATGCAAAGCAAGTAATAAAATATAATCATGTAAAACGAGAAATAAAACTGTAGAAAATATGTCACGATGTTGTTGTGGGCATAGCGATGGGTACGGAATTCGGTACTTTTTAAGGTGCCAACTGAATTCCACAGTACCGACTGCGCACCGATCACGTCATTTGAAACGGTGCCTCGTTTCGGTACCCGTCCTTCATAACGAGAAGTTGCCTAGACAGCTGCGCATGCGCAAGAGCGTTATGTCGTCGGTCGCTTCGAGCCAGTTGTAAACAGAGCAGCATGGTAGAAAGAACGCACGCTAAAGCTTGGGTCCACTTCACTAAATGTGATGGGTAACTGGGTGATGATGAAACCAGCGACAACGATCTAAGTGAGACATCCTCATCTTAATCTGCTCCGGTAGGTAAATAAAATGTTTAAGATAACGTTAGCTTGATTTGTTAGCTTCCGTTTATCTAATGGTGCGTTCGTTTTCTCCTCGGAACTCCGAATTTCCAACTAGAAGAACATGAACGCGCTCTAAAGTTTGGCTTCACTTTACTAAATGCGCCGGGTGAATGGGTGAAGATGAAACCAGCGACAACGATCTAAGTGTGAGGCATCATCGTTTTAATCTGCTCCAGCAGTTAAATAAAATGTTTAAGATAACGTTAGCTTGATATGTTAGCTTCCATTGCCACCATTGTTATCAGCTAATGGTGCGTTCGCTTTCTCCTCGGAAATTCTAACTTCCCAGTAGGAAAAATCAAATGAAAAAGGACGGCAAAAGGAATGAAGATACACAGTAAATTTAGTTCACAGTAAAGATGTTTGCTTCAGTTTAATTATCAGCTTATAAAACTACAAGGACGATGTTAAAATACAAACAGTTGTATGTTATTTATCGTGATATTTATCAAATATGGTTATATATTGAGAAATATATATATGTTTTATTATAAAAGAGAATTAAAATATTAAACACGCAAAAGTACCTAAAATTGGTACCGTTAAGTACCGTTATCGATTCCTAGGAACCAGGAATTAGTACCGAATCGATTCAAATGTCAAAGGTACCCATCCCTATGTGGGCATCTGCATTAATGTAGTTGTTAGTGGCTCCGCCCTCTCGGTCTGACATCACGTTTAATGCATGCAAACACTCACCTGTTTACAAGTTTAAATAATTTATTAAAATAAGGCTGAATGACCTCATAAAACAATGGAAACTAAAATAAAAATTGTAAACTCTGTTGCAAACTCTGCCACATTCTAATTTGAAAAGATTTGTTTTATTAAAATCCAAACGCTTTTATTTGCACCTATTAATTTTTTTCATCAACCCGAGTTTTCCAGCCCCATCCATCTTTTAATTACAAATATTGCAAATGACTTCATTTTCTCCTTTAGGATGGTTCTATAGTATTGAACGTGGACTCTGGAGGAACTGGAAGGCACCTGATGGCGAGCCTTTAGGTATCTAATGCAATTCTGCATCAAAAACAAAATTTTTCTCTAAAACCACTAATATGGACTATATTTAACCCTTAATGTGTCTCATTTACGGATGCATCGATACCACCTTTTTCCAAACCGATACAATAACGATACTTGGATCTGAGTACTCGCCGATGCCGATCACTGACACCGATACTTCTACCACACAAAAAAATGCAATGAATTGGAATACCGGTTTTATTTTCTTCTCTGTTTTCAACAGGAAAATACTTCGAGGTAGATAAAAACTTTAATATATGAATAGAAATGATCACAGAACTTAAATATTAGGTTAACAGAAATGACAAGTTACAGTGAAGCCTCTTTCAGGCAACTGCATCGTAATTTTTACCGACACTGATGTGCATCCCTAGTTGCATAATTTAGAATAGTCATCCGCTCTGCAGCAACGGGTGCACCAATAACGTCTGAGTTCATAAATAACATCAGAAACACAAATACAATAAACAGAGAACTTCGGGTGAACAGAAAGTATGCTTCAGCTATCGTTTTTGTAGAATTAAAGTTCTCCAACGTTATGTTTTCTTCCACACCGTCTGCTGTGCCCTCATCCTGCTCCATGAGCTGAGGTGAAGGACGACACAACAGCATCAGCAGGTGATGCAGAGAGAGAGAGAAGACCACCGTGACTCGCAGCGGTGAACAAAGACATCGAAGTCTTGAAACGTCAAAGAGTAGGATGCAAACTGTCACGTCGTTGTGATATTAAAACAATTTGAAAGGTGATGTCAAATGCAGAAAACTAATACTGTTTAATTTTACCAAACCTGTAGAACAGTGAAGATCTCTGCTAACAATTAAAAATAAAACAGCTAAAGACAAACATTCATTTTCTTATTTAAAAAACTAATAAAAATAAGGGAATTTAATGAGAAACGTTTTCTTTCTTTATTGAGCATGTAAATCAATAGACAACCCAAAGCATTCAAAAAGTATTCGGAAAGAAACCCATACATATGTATATATATATATATATATATATATATATATATATATATATATATATATATATATATATATATATATATATATATATATATATATATATGTAGAACATGTTCAATAGGAAGGGAACAAAGCTCTGGTAGTTTATATAACCCCCCCAAATCAAATTTCAAGAAAGATAAAACAAAAACTATATATATTTTCCCTACACTGAGTGTCATAGCCATTTTCTTATAACATGTTTTATCCTCAATCACACAAACAAAATTTACATTTTTTTATGTTTCATGCCCCCCCCCCCCCCCCCCAAATATTCACAGCTCTCAGTTCACCAACAATAGACAATTACAATGAAATGCAACACCCTTACAACTTTTCCTCCTCCTCCATGTAATTAATTAGTATAATTTCTTATACTTCTCTTTAAACTTATGCAATGAGGGACTTTGCTTTAGATCCTCACGTAGCTTATACCAAACTCTTACACCTGTAGCAGAAATACAAAATGACTTTAATGTTGTTCTAAAATATGCATGCCTTAAGTTGAGTTTGCATCTGAAATTATATAGGTTATCTGGTTTTATAAATAGCATTAATAATTTGTTTGGTAATAATTTCCTATGCACTTTAAACATGAATGTTGCTGTATATAGTTGAAGTAAATCTTTAAATTTTAGTATTTTAGAATATATAAATAACGGATTAGTGTGTTCTCTAAATCTAACATTGTGAACGACTCTCAGGGCTCTTTTCTGTACGATAGACAAGGGTACAATAGATGTTTTATAAGTGTTACCTCACACCTCTACACAGTAAATAAGATAGGGATAAATCAATGAATAATAAAGGACATGGAGTGATTTATAATCCAAGTACTGCCGATCTTTATTCATAATATAGATGCTTTCCGCAACCTTATTATATACATGTTTAATTTGTGGTTTCCAACTTAATTTACTATCAATTATTATTCCAATAAACTTCACTCTTATTAGAGAAATAGCTATCGGTAACAGGGATGATTTTACATGTTAATAACTTGTCTAAAATATCCCCTTCAAAAGACCCAAACTATCAGTTTAAACACAGACAAACCTGTAGATGTTGGATCACATCCTCATTTAACAAGTGACTGAATACCTGTTACACATTCATTGCTCTGGTTAATATTTCGTACTGAACTCGTGAAGGCACTTTGTCAGGATAGAAATCTAAACAAATGTTGTTATGATGTCTGTTTTTTCACCATGTTCAGTGCCTTGGACTTTCGTTAAGGTGCTATTCAGAGAAAAGTTGTTTCTCAGCTGGCGAGGGAACTGGAGGGGCAGGTCCTTTGAGTAGTTTATAAATTCGTTATAAAATATAAACACATAAACAAAATGTGTACCTTTGTTAAATTATTACATTTCTGTATCAATTTCTGTGTGTGTTTATTCAAATTCAAAAATATTTTATTAATCCCAGAGGGAAATTGATTAAATTATTAGAAAAATTATTAGATGAACTTGATTATTTAATGGTCTTTGAACTAATAGTTTTATAACTGAAATGTTTGATTAGAAATTATTCTGGTAAATATTTTTTTAAACTAATTATAGTTATTTGTTGTTTCCTGTCAATAAAATCCATCAAGTACACGGTGGATGCAGTTTCAGCCAAGGGGCCGCCAGGGGGCGCATGAATTGAAGAAGTTTACGCAAATATAATTTATTTTAAAGGGCAAGACATTTAAATATATTTTGGTTGTAAGCATTGTCTTTTTCATGTGCATTTTTAAAACTAGAAATTCTATCCTTTCCAATACAACAGCAGAAAGATTCCCAAAGGAACAACCAATATGCACCAAAGCGTGATAAGAAAACATTAAACTAACTTTTTAAAAGGACTTAAATAGCTTTGAGTTTAGGTAGGAGTCATTCAGAGTGTTTATTCAGGCTACAGTTATGTATGGATGTAAACCATGGACTTATGTAAACCCGATTCACGCATTAAAAACATATTATTCCATATTTGCGTTTTAGAAAATGAATTTTCTAAATTACACGGGCGAAAATAACATCTACATTCCGTCTATATTTACAACGCATTTTATTCAATAAAAAACAAAAAATAAAAAAATGCGTTTTGGAAAGTTTTAATTGGAGTTCCGGGGCTCACGAGACCCGTCCTACTGAGTTGCTAGTTCTGCGCATACGCGGAAAAGCGAAAGGGTTCTCGTCGTACGGAACATGGGGTTTTACTACTCTTTAAAGTAAAAACAGCATTTAACATACCACAAAAACACGAATAACAAGTCAGTGAGTTGTTAGCTCCGCTCAGACAAGTAAGTCCAGTTCTGTCCGCGTCTGTGGACTTCACTTTGACTCCCTCCAGGTAAGCTCATTCTTGTTTACATGATTAGCAAACTTGGTGTAACTCCAGACACAGTTTTTGTTTTTCTGTCCTAAAATATCTGACTTGTTAGCACTCCGCAGTAAGTTTTTGTGTGACTTCCTGACTCTGGTGAGTGTTTAGATTTAATCTTTACTACATCCGCTTGTTGTGTTTACTGATTTGGCCCAAAACTAACAGCTGTGTGAGTTAAAACCTGCCTTCTCGTTCCTTTGGAAAGGCTGAAATCTCGCCAGTTAGCCCCTCTGTTATGTGGATAGCTTTGATTTTCAGCTTTTATAAATAACAATAATTTAACTACTTATCAGCACTCTAATGATTTCATCTATTTACGGAAGTACTGGGCGTGAGACTAGTGTGGGTAATTTGTGTGTCAGACAGGAATTGTTACAGATTACTGAACAGAAACCTCCCTGTTTCTGCAACAGGCTTTTATTTATGCCTCCATCAAGAGATTTTCTGCTCAGTAAAAAATAAAACCCTCAGGTCTAATTCATAAAATTAAATGCTCTTAAACCACAAAACAGATTAGTGGGAACTGTACTCGTGTACAGGAATGTTTGCAAATTCCTCAAAAAGTAGGGATGCACCGATCAGGTTTTTTGCTGTCGATCACCGATACCGATATCAAAGAATGCTGATCACCGATACCGATCACGTGGATTGGCCAGAAATTTTCTACAACATTATAATGAGTGCCACAAACTACATAATCTGGAAATAAAGGAAATGTAACCTAATCTAAAATGGTCTGTATTAGGGTCGTCACGGTGTGAAAATGTAAGCTCACGGTTATTGTGACCAAAATTATCACGGTTTTCTGTATTATCGCGGTATTTTTTTAAAACGTGTTACATTTTCACACAACTAAATAAACCCTGTATGTCAGGAAAATATTGTCCTCAGTTTGTGTCTAAATTTAGCCTAAAATGTGTTATTTTGTAATTATGTTGTTTATTTGTTTACATATTTTCCCCTTTAGTCTTTAAAATACCAATATTTGTCCATAACTTCTTATTTTATGTCTGTTTGATGTCATCATTTTAAAAATATTAGATCAGATGATACTCAGTACTCAAGTAGCCTTCTAATCAGATACTTTTTTACCCTTACTTGAGTAATAAACCCTATATCAGGAAAGTATTGTCCTCGGTTTGTGTCCTTCCAGTGAGCTTTGCAGATGTGGGAAAATGTCATCAGGCAGTAATCGTTGTTAAATTCATAATTATTCTCGGAGAGAGACCAACTCTTATCTGCCCCTGGGAGCCCCGTAATGCATAGCGTCATTTCAACATGGCGGTGTCCGCGACACGGTTTACATGCAGGTAGCGGCGCTGCGGCTGCTTTATATAGCGACTCGTTGCATTCTCCCTCAACCCAAATCCTCGGATCACGCATTTTAGCTAAAACGCTAACGTTAGCTTGCCTTGCGTTGACTGTAGAGTTGTGGGTGATGGTCACGCAGATGTGTCATGAGATTTGAAGCGTTGCTGCCTTTCACAGACACTTTTTCTGCACGTGCTGCAAACAGCATAGCCGTCTTCTATCAGCTGTCCCTCGGCATTCTTCAAATATCTAAAAAATGCCCGTACTTCCCACTTTGTCTTCTTTGAGGGATAATAAATGCCCTGAGCGCTGCCGTCTCCTCCTTTGGCCATTATTTCAGCTTTAGCTTCAAGAAAGTTTTGGTTGTAAACAACAAAGTGCGCATGTGCCGCCGGCAACTTCAGCAGATGATACGGTGGCTGGTAAGGGTCACCGCGCCTACACCGCAGCCACGGTAATCCACCAAGATAATATAGTTTTTAAAAACAAGACGGTTATTATTATTGTCAACTTTTTTTACCGGGGTTTACCTCTACACCGGTTACCGTGACAACCCTACCTGATCGGTCTGCTTTGATCTATTTTGAAAACTCCGATCAAAACCGATAGGGGCGCTATCGGCCAATTGCGATCAAATGCCGATCCATCGGTGCATCCCTATCAAAAAATAAAATTTTATCTAACTTACTTTAGTGACGCTATTAATATATTTGTCTAATAACAAAATAATAAATGTATTAGGTACAAACCTACTCTTCACCAGAATTACACAGGGGTAAACATGATCAGTATATGAGGACATCAAGTTTTTCAAAGTTGATGGAAAATGACCTCTTTGACCTTTTCAGTGCATTCATTTGTACATTTAATGTCGTTTTCAATATTTAGAGTTCTTCACTTTCTCTTGTTACTTTTATTAAAATATTATTTTAACTTTCACTGTTATTAAGTGTTCAGCTCTCATAGTACAAAAAAACCTGATTTGTTTCTTGTAATTGGTGTGAAAAATGTGAAATTGCATAGTGCCAATTACTGCACAGTGACTTTTCACAAGTTGTTACCTAAATTATCAACGGGTTCTGCAGAGCTTGATGAGCTGCTGAACAGGTGATTCCACCACAGAACCAGGTGAGTTGGAGCAGGAAAACAACTAAAACATGCTGGAGCTCACGAGGACCAGGGCTGCTGACTCCTGATTTAAACTATAATGAAAAGAAACTGGATGTTTGGGCCCAATGGCACTATGGCAGGAACTCAACATCCACCCTTCCAACATAGCAGCATATAAACATGGACCCTGTCTCAAAACTGGACCGCTACAGGAATGAAGTGGTGAAGGTGTGTGTGTTGTTTGTTTTTTTTTCTTCAGCTGAAGCGTTTCTCAAGAGTGCATTTAGAGGGACATTATGGAAGTGTGACAGCCAAAACATGTATAGAAATAATAAATGTCTTCTTCATACATTCTCCTGCAATGCCCTGGTCCTGTAGAATGAGCCCTGGCATTTTTACTGTGATTGCCTGTTTTTCTGTAAAATCACAGAAAAAGAGAGATGCTCGGGTCGAGCAGGCTGCTTCATGCGCGTTCACGCTCAGGCATCGCCCGTAGCATTTGCTATCCGTAGCTTTAGCAGCAGAGAGAGAGGCAGTGCCACTTTGTCGCTGTTCCTAACGCCTAGTGACAAAGCTAGCTACATTTCTGAGGACCCTTAGCTACTTTCTGTAGAACTTTCTTCTAGATATTTCCTGCAAATTAGCAACAAAATAGCCATTTTCACTCCCAACCGTTCTTTGGTTTGACGTTGTTTCAGCTGTCATCAAGGATATAAATGTTACAGATATAAAGGACGTCACTGGTGCTTTAGCTCACCTAGTATGATGTCTGACTCTCATGCAGAAGACCTGGGTTTGATTCTGGGTGTGAACATAAATTATTTAGAGTTTCTTTTTTACATTAATGGTATATTTTTTACAGTAAGATGCCCAAATTTTTATTTGAGACTCGCCGAACGGCATTGAATTCACAGATAAAAAAGATGTGGGTTCAACTTTCATTTTGGAACAATTTTTCAAGCAAGGGAAGGGAATGATCTGAGCATGCAGGAGGACTGACCCATCATAAACCTTTGTCGGCTGTGCTGAAGAGAAAGGTACAGAACCACATTATTTAATTAATTAGCTGCACGTCCTCCTGTCCTCTGTCCTCCGGACCACACACACACACACACACACACACACACACACACACACACACACACACACACACACACACACACACACACACACACACCACACACACACACACACGGGACTGTCTCAGCTGTTATTTTCGTTAAGGAGTGTGCACGTACAGCATGCGCACCTCGTGCACGAGCCTGCTATTGAAGCTGCTGTTACGCTTTTGGCCTGAGGGGGCGATCACGAGCATAAAAATTCAAAAGTCCGTAAAGTCCCTTTAAAGTTTGATGTTTTTGTAGTGGTCAATTATCTATAGGTTTTACACAAAATCACTCAGATTTTGTTTTAAACCATCATTTCTACTAACTAACTTGATGATTATCATATAGATTTTTTTTATGTTTGGTCTCATTTAGAGCTAACACCTAATTTAGAAAAACATTTTGTATAATTCATTTAGGCAAGTTATTATAGTTCAGAAATATTTGTTTTACAAAATATCAGCTGACTTTGTTTAAAGTTGAAAAAGGGTTTCAGTTTTACCCTCTGTGGTAAATGGCCTGTATTTGTGTAGAGCCTTCTTAGGGTTCTACAACCCCCCAAGGCTCTTTACAACTCTATCAATCATTCACACACACACATTCACATGCTGGTGATGATGAGCTACAATGTAGCCACAGCTGCCCTGGGGCACACTGACAGAGGCGAGTTCTGCCGAGCACTGGCGCCACCGGTCCCTCCGACCACCACCAGCAGGCACGGCGAGTATAAGCTTGGTTTATGCTTGACGCATTTACTTTCCGCGCGGTGATGCGGCTCGCGGATGGAACGCGCTTCACAACTCGCAGCATTTATGGTTTGTGCGGCTCGTCTCTGCGGTGAGCCAATATTCTCCCAAACTGTAGGGGGCAGCATGGAGCTCTACGGCATGCATCCAACACTACACCATAGTAGAAGTAAAAATGACTGTTTACAACATGGCATTCCAGCATTTTTAACAGCGTTCTCGTCTTTTCCGACAGTGCGAGCTATTTCTCTCCAAGAATTATTAACATGTTGATCACGGTGATCTCTGAGAGCTGAATCATACAAATGTCTGTATTTACCAACCTCTGCCTAACTAATTCTTGCCGGTCCGCCATGTTTTTCCGCTTCCATCCGTCTGCGTGGTTAGAAATTTTCCGAGGTGCGCGTTGCGGAAATCTTGGGCCATGCGGAGACGCGGTGGAGGGGCGTGGTTGTTAAAATGACGCAAAATGACGCAACTTTTCCGCGCAGAGCCGTGCGAACCTCGCGGACGCGTCAAGCATAAACCAACCTTAAGTGTCTTGCCCAAGGACACAACAGCAGCATTCTCTAGTTGAAGCCGGGATTTATTTTTAGTTTATTACAAAAGTTGCGTGAGATCTTTCACAAAACTCAGAGAGAAAGCCTTATGGTGGACAACTTTAATTGTCTGGTATATTTGCACCCAAACAAAAATAAATAACACAGTAAAATTGTAATTATATTGTTAATAATCATAATGGTAACTTTTATTTCTGTGGTTCTCTGCAGACTTGTGTTCCAACTCCTGGGATGTCTTTCCCCTGGATCTCCCTGGTGGACCCAACCAGCAACACGTCCATCAGCTGCTTCAGCTCCAACCAGAGCACGGTCCTCTCCGGACTCGAGTTCGGAGGAATTCCAGTCGTCCTGCTGCTGAACTTCTGTGTTTTCATTGTATGTTTCTATCTGTCAACTTCACCTTCTCATTCCAGGTTTTTTTTTTTTTTGTTAAAAGTGACGACATAAAATATTTTCTTTTCTTTAACATCATTAGGATCAAGTTAGAGATTTAAAATCTTGTGACTAAATTAGAAACCCTGAAAGATGTTTTCTTAATCAATATTTTCTGTAATTTTCAACCAGGTTGCTTTAAATCTTTTGAAACTAGTTACATTAGGGCTGGGCGATACGGCCCCAAATTAATATCACGGTATTTTGGGGAGTTCACCTCGATAATGATAAATGGATAACTACCGTAAATCCTCTAATACAGGCCTAGGCCTTTATTTACTCCAGCGCATCCTGGTTCAGGCCTTTATTGGAAGGAGGCCAGAATTAGAGACAGACCTCAATTTCAATTTGAGCAAAATAAACTACTAGTAGAATGAATAAAAACAAGGTTTTGTGTCTGTTTGAATCTATGAAACACCAGTTTCGTTTATTGAAGATATACAGTTGACATTGTACGTACGTATGCATATAGAACATTTACAACAAACACCATTATTTCGCTGGAGGATTTACCCAACGCTGAAGCGATCAACATAACAAACTATCTCGTGTGGCAAATCTCATATTACACTACAAACCAAAAGCCTTTTATGAGTCTGAAAGCCTACAACTATTCCATTTCAGGTTGGTTAACGACGTAGAGATCAGGAGAAGCTTGAAATGACCGTTGTCTTGTTTATGCTTGTGAGATGTGCAATTTGAATTATGTAATAAACTTGTAATTACTGGTACATTTGTTTGATTTCATTAAGATATTAATGCCACGTTGTAACACTGAGCTAATTGCTAAAAACGTTAGCACTCCAAAAGCTATTTGTGGTGAGGACGTGAAAACAGTATCAAGCTGTTTACCTGCAGTGTTTCTAAGCCGTTTATAGCTGGATTTCCTACCCCCTTGACGGACCTTAAGCATGGATAGGCAGTCATTTGCATCGGAGAGGATAGCCATTAGCATGTCTTGGAGAGTCGATAGTCAGCTAGTGGCCAGCCTAGGCACGCTAATGGCTAGCCTCTCCATTGCTAACACCAGCCCGTCCAGGCTAACTCTAGCCTATCCATGCTAATAGACAGCAGAGTGAGTGCTTGAACCAGTCAATGACCAGCCGAGGGCTGCTAGTCCCTAGCGTATCTAGTAGTAACACCAGTAAAGGTGCTATTTCTCAGTAAGCAGCGCCAGCCTCTCCGTTACCGGCGCCAGCTTTAATCAGATCGGTAGTTAGCTTCAGAATTTATATAGCCTCCTGCTGCTGGGCAGTAGTCTTAATTTTGGCCCCCATACCGCGCCATACCCATCCCCCTTCCCCGTGAACATACCGGTAATGTTGATGCCAGCTGAGATTAGAAACGGGCCTTTATTACACCGGCTAATGTAGGAGACCCGGCCGGTGATTGAATACAGGCCAATATTAGGCCTAGTCCACACATAGTCGGGGTTTTTTAAAAACGAATATCCGCCCCTCCAAAAACTCTCATCCACACCACCTCGTTTTAAAAAAAAACTCTGTCCACACGTACCCGGATAAATACGTTGTTAAGGACATGCCAGACCTGTAGGCGGCAGTACTTCCCCCGTTCTTAACCTCGTCCTTCGTCTGTGGTCTTCCGCAAGGAGCAGTAATTCCTCTTGCAAAAACAAACAAGCAAAAAGCGCTTGGACAATTGATAAAGCGAGCGCAGCTCTGAGGGCATCCATGCTGTCGGCTAGTGTAAACACAGGTCGCACACGTGATGTCAGCATGTTTTTGTAGCGGAAAGTGACGTTGCGGACCTTAAAACTCCGGTTTTGTCCGTCCACACGCAGACACCCAAAACGGAGAAAACGCAGATCTTCACTTTGGCCGGAGTTTTTAAAAAGATCCGTTTTCATGTGAAAAAACTCAGTTTTCGTGTGGATGACAGGCCAAAACGTAGAAAAATATCTACGTTTTGGCAGATCCCCGGCTACGTGTGGACAGGGCCTTAGAGGGCTGTCACATGTATTACGTCGAGTCACGTGGTCGTGTGACTCGAGGTGGTACAGCTTCGTAAAATGACATGAACGTAGCCAACCTACACACATCTTTTCTTTTTTAATTATTGATTTTACTGACATGGGAAAACGATATTGATTAGAAACAGAAATTTCGATGATGATACATTTTCGATATATCGCCCAGCCCTAAGTTAAGGCTTTATTTATTCATTGTACAGAATCATGTCATACCTGCACTAAACCACCTCTTTTCTTGAGTCTCGCAGGTGTTGCTGATCATTTTCTCGATTATCAGAAAGAAGTTCTGGGACTACGGTCGATTAGCTCTGGTTGCAGACAGTGATGGGTCAGTTTAAGAGATTTTACCTGCTTTACCCTACAAATGAAGTCACGGGAGTTTTGTAAACACACCAAATAGAATATAATAATTTAGTGATTTTAGCTTTTGTTTGATCGAATCTTTAAATCAGGTTCAACGAGTCAACGCACCGCCGCTACGGTCGTATGCCATCCACAGCGTCCAACGTGGATGACGCCGAGCACGAATCGGTACGTGCGGAAAACCTCACCTTCATCATCAGAAGCTTTTGTTTCTCCTCATCGTGTTTCTCTGTTTGTTCAGGGGTACTTCTCGTGGCTGTCCTACAGCGTCAGAATGGAGTGAGGGTTTATTTTATTGTAAATATGTTTTGTCACTCCTAGAATCCGAAATCTGATGGTATATGTTTGTGTTGCAGCGAAGAGAAGATCAAACAGAAATGTGGCGTTGATGCGTTACACTACCTGTCCTTCCAGCGTCATCTGATCATCCTCTTGGTGGTCATCACTGTCCTTTCCCTCGGAGTCATCCTGCCGGTGAATCTGACTGGGAAACTGCTGAGTGGGTTTCTGTCACACTTCTCTCTCGTCCAAAAACAGAGATCAGAGTTCTTTTATGAACAACTTGAACATCTTAGAGGAAAAAAAAACTTAATTTAGTTCCTGTTCTTGCAGGAAATGACCCTGTGAGTTTTGGACGGACAACAATTGGGAATCTGAGCACTGAGTAACTACCGTAATCCATGATGTAAAGTTTAATTCTCTCTTGGAACAAAAGCATTTAGTTTATAAGGAAATGTTCCTGTCCAGGAACGACCTGTTATGGCTGCACACTGTGTTCGCTGTGATCTACCTGGCGCTGACCATGGTGTCGCTGAGGCTGCACACGTCCAAGATGAAAGACCTGCGCAGGGACAAGGCGAGTCTCTCTGACCGAAAGACCGGATCTTGGTGGATGAGAAGTTTTTAAATGTCTAGTTTGGAACATTTTTCCGTCTGCAGGCCAGAAACACCTTGTTTATTTGTTCAGTCCCTAAAATGGCAACAGCGGAGGATGTAAAGGACCATTTCAGGTGACACAGTTACCGTAAATGATAGTATTAATGTGTATCACATATTTTGTTTTTATCATACAATTTTTGTTTTGATGCCCCTGTTTGCTTAACCATCACCAGCTGTGATCCACCTGGTTGTGTTTGTCCTTAGGGAGGCGTATCCTCAGTGGCGGGTGTGTTCTGTTACTCTGGCCTATGATGTGGCCAAACTGATGCACCTGGATAAGGAAAGGTGAGACATCAGTGAAGACATTTTCTGAATCATGGGAAACATGTTGTATGTATGAACGAGAGAGAAAGTTTTAGTGGGTGATGGTGTGTGTTTGTGTGTGTGTGTGTGTGTTAGCAGGGACATACCATCAGTGTTGTGCCTGAACTCGTGCATTGAACGATTGTTTGTGAACTCGTTCGTATTTCGCCTGATGAACGTACAATTGAATACGTTCGTCCTGGCGTGCGTAAACGGGTTTTTGAACGAGTACTTTAGCCGTTCTAGCTTCAGATCTCCACGGAGCTTTTCCGGAGCTAAAGCCTAGCCTAGCCTAGCGTCCATCCATCTGATGCGGCTCTCTTTGCTTGTAAAATAATGACTGGATATTTAAATAAAATGCTTTATATTTTACTGCATTAATTTTATATCTGTATGTCAATTCTAAATGTAAAGATTGTCTGCGTAAACCTGAACAGGTCCAGCCCGGTCTTACTGTGAGACCGGGTTGACGCGTCACGCTTGTGCGTAATCATAGGCGCTGTCTGAGCTGAAGACGATGTGAGATTCTGGGCTTTTCCTCAGACGGCTCCTGGATGCGTCGCCACATTGGAGACAGGAACAAGCACTATTCAGCCAAAGTTTCATCATCAGGGAACATTTTCTAAGTGACAAGTCTCTCTGAGAGACCGGGTTTGGAAAACTCTCGCTTCAGTCGGAGGAATCTTCCTGCATGCGCTCTGGTTCTGCGACGCGCTCCAAGCCCCTCTCCACATCTTCAGCTTGCTGTGCACCTTATGTACGCACTGACAGTGAGCTTCGCTGAGCGGTGTCCAGCTCAGATGTTCAGATGGGAATCTTTTCTTGAGTGATTTAACTACATCTGCGATGTGTGAAACGAATAGTGTCAGTTCGTCTGCATGCGTCGGGGTAATTCTTTCTATTCTTTCTCCGTCAAAATAAACGGTCAAATACGGGAACTATCCGGTCAACACAAGCCCCGCTTTTAACTGTTCTGTTTTCTTGTGAAAATAGATAAAATTAAACTTGATTACCACCAGATCCAGGCGCACTGCGCGGTTGTCTCCGTCGCTGTAAATGAGGGAAAAACAAATTGATCGGATCCTTTTCTGACCTTCCCCACCTACAAAGTTTAATTACAACAATCAAACGTGACCGAGCCTGGATTTGTATTCTGAACAGTCTAAACATGTTTTAAAAAGAAGCGTATGACAAAAGTGGCACCTGCTCAGTAAAACCACCAACAGGGTGAAAATATCTAAATATTGTCGGCAGAGACGGGCTACAACTTCTGGATCCACTTTATATAAATCGTTTTATTGATTATCTTCTTATGAAAGATAGCTTTGACGTACACGAGCGACCGGTACCGGCTGCTGTCACCTGTTGTGATTGGTTAAAGCAGCTCTCTGATGTCTGAGGGTAGGCCCCGCCCACAACGCCGCGGCTGCTGTGGCTCCCAGTGTTTTCTTTACTGTGGGAAACGGGTAATAATGGCTCTTGGATGGGAACAGGTTGCCGACCCCTGGCCTAGCTAAAACCAGCTGTTAACCATAGAGTTTATAAAATGTAGAACCCGCAAATGCGGCCAAACGTAGGCAGTAGCGGTTGGTGCGGTGTCTACTCTTCTGCGTCTATGATGTGTGCAGGAGTCACAGTTCATTCAGAAAAATTGAAAAGAGACTTAAGTAAAAGATTATAGATTTTTTAACGTTTTGCACTTTCAGTATTGCACTTTGAGTTTGCTATCACAGCCTGCTCCCTAAGATTGTTTAATAATTTCCCATAAAAAAGATGTTTTCCTCGTGTTATTGACAATAACTGTAGGGTAAAAACTGCAGCTGAGTGTGGACTGAACGGGTGCCAACTATTGGAAAATTATTTCGTAAGTTACGAAGCCACTGAGGCCATCTTGTGGCCGAAAAGGGGCAGAGCACGTAGCGCCAACCCTGACCTTAGCGGCACAGCGTGCTGCTTCTGTGCCGCGGCTGGTCCGAATCACCCCCGTAGGCTAGAATGGATTCTATTTGAAGCAGCGGCGTTCTGCTGCCGTTCCACGCCACTGATGCCTCCAATGTGAAGTAGGGGTTAATTTGTGTTGCTGAATGCATAAAAGAGCTTACCTCTCACATCTTTTACATAACAAATCCTGAAACGTGGTTCCGTATCATTGTTTTTAAACCTATAGGGTGCGAGCTGGGAAAAACCTGCGGTACTATGAGCGGGTTCTTGAGAAGACAGGGCTGCGTGGGCTGATCAACCCGCGACTGTGTAGCAACATCTGTTGCTGCTCCAGCTGTGAGAAAGTGAGCATTAACGCGACAGTTTTTAACGTTTATTCAGCAGGTTTTTCTCATTAATCGTGCCGTTGTTCTCTCAGGTTGATGCCATAGAATATTACCGTAGTAAAGAAAAGCAGCTGCTGGAGGAAATGAGGCGGCAGACAGAAGAAGTACCAGATCATCCACTGGGGATGGCATTTGTCACCCTACAGACCGAAGCTATGGCTAAGTAGTACGAGACCCCTTGTTTATCAGTTTAGCATCACTAGAGTTCAACTAAATTACAAATCTAATCATGGAAACGCATCACGTGTGAGTATCATGCCATCGTCAGCACGTGACTCCTTATTCTAAGACTTGTGTGTTAAAGCTATTGAGGTCACTAACCGCTGCTATTTGTTCACATCAGCATTCTGAAAGACTTCAATGCTATCGAGTGTAGCGGGATGAAGTGCTGCGGAGGGCGAGAGCCTCAGCCTTCGTCCAAAAGCAAAACTCTGAAAGTGAACCGGTGGCGGGTCAGCTTTGCTCCACATCACAGAAGTGTTTATTGGTAATCTTCAAACGCCTCATTCTGCCACAGAGCTCCGGGAGTTGACGTCACTTCTCCCGGCATGCAACAGCTCAAATTGAAACGGCGCCATCTTGGCAGGCAGAAGCCCGCAGCTGGGCTATTTGTTACTGTTAGAAAAGTCAATCAGACGGGAAATATGGTAGATTCCTGTTGTGCCCCAGGATGCAGAACAGACGCGGACGACATAAGGAATGAGCCATCTACAGGATTCCCCGAGATCCGGAACGCCGCAAACGTTGGATCATTGTAATAAAACGCGCTAGTGACCGGGCTTAAATGAAGCTGTGGGATCCCGAGAGTAAAGGTTTTCGCTTATGCAGCAACCGCTTCATATCAGGTATTTAAACCAGCGTTTCCTCAACTGTGTGTGGTATTTATTTTAAATGCTTTTATTACGAGTCTTAGTGGGCTTCCTAAACTTATTTTGGCGGGGCTTTTTCTGTCTTATTACTCACAGCAACAACTAAACATCACGTAAAACGTTGCCTCGTGAGTTCTGCGTGCTGCCGTTTACGTGTTTTATGATCACAGCAATTAACCGGCTAAGCTGTATTTCATTTTAAGCAATGGTTGATCAATTGTCAGATCACACATAAAAAGCACTTTGGATTGCTATTATCTGCCTCACCGAGACAGATCTCAGACAGATCCTGAGACGCTCCTGCCTGGCATATTTATTTTATTCACAGACTAGTGATTCCTCTTGGTGTTCAGTTTATACATTCAAACAGCACAGCACTCTATTTAAACTACTTACGTGTAAATCTGTTATTTTTCCATCCATCCATCTATTTTCCTCCCCTTATCCGGAGTCGGGTCGCGGGGGCAGTAGCCTAAGTCGAGAGGCCCAGACTTCCCTCTACCCAGCCACTTGGGCCAGCTCCTCCGGGGGAATCCCAAGGCGTTCCCCGGCCAGGTCCGCTCCGACAGCTTCTGGAGTTTTAAAAAAGTATCCCAGGGGCACGGTAAGGGTCGGAGATGTTTAGTCTATTTAATTTCTGACTGTATAAAACGATTTCTTTGGTTTTAAAGTGTGAAGTAAACTCCGACGGAGTAAAATCCAAGCCGACCCCGATCCTTTTGTTTACCTTTGTTGCCTGCCAACATGGCGTCTACTCTCTGAGAGTCACGTGACGTCCGGAGCTCTATAGTAGGGACAAAAGTCTAATCAGGAGCATAGAGGTGCATCAGTTTGGTTCTTTGTCTGCAACTTCGGCTGTGTCTCAATTCAGGGTCTGCATCCTACCTCGGCCGGATTCGTCGGCCGGTTACGTCACAGCGCCGCGACTCGGCCTGTCCCAATTCGAAGACTCCTTCAAATGCGGTCGACGAATGCGGCCTTCTTTTCGCCTGAATGAAGGATGGGTCGGGTGTATCCTTCAATAGGTAGCATTTCCCAAGATGCCTTGCGGGCCGGCCGACAGAAAAACTTAAAAACAATGGCGGACAGTGAAGCGGGAGCTGTCGGAGAGGATTGCGCATATAAATGTAAGTATAAACTTGAAAACTGTCAGTTTAAGGACTTTTTGTGATACATGAACGTTATTTTAGTTAGAAATGTTACAGTAAAAGTGCTTGTATTGCGGTCTCGGCTCGTATGTTCGGCCGCGCTCGGTGTCGTACTTCTCCCGCTACGTTTCCCCCTGATTTTAATTGAAGTTTGTATTTTAGGACCAAAAGAGAAAACCAGGGAATTTATTAAGCTTAGGGCGGAGATGGACCACATGATCACCGGAGCAAAGTATTCGGCGGCTGTGGCATGGAGGTACAATAACATCTCATATTTTAAAAACTCGTTTGAGTTTATTTTTTCTGCGAAAACATGAAAGGAATAACCCGTTGTCCTCTTTTCTCTTCCTGTTTCTTTTCTTACATGTTTGTTAAGACTATTCTGGAGAAAATGGGCATCCAGGGGAAGGTGCCAGCGATGACCAGCATCTGGAGCTGATCTGGGAGGAATTGAGGCTGCAGAGGGAGGCAGAGCAGCAGAGAGCACAGGAGAGAAGGAAGAACTTTGACAGCTTTTTACTTTGCTAGAAAAAATGGTTAAGGAAGATTAAACATGTACATGTAAAAGAAATATCTAAATAAAACCAGTTCTGCATTAAACTCTTGAATTTTATTTTTGTTTACAAATGAGAATTGTTTACTAGAGGGTATCCGCTGGGTCTTGAAAAGTCTTAAAAGGTGATAAATCGGTTTTGGTCAAATTAAGACCCTTAGAAAGTATTAAAAACTATTATCACATCTTTGCTCATGCTCAGCTAGTCTAAAGTATTTTCTCTGAATTAGCTCTCCAACAGTCAAGGAAATGATTAACCCACAGAGACCCACGGTTGTAATATTACAACATCAGATTTAAGTCCACAAAAATAAACCTTCCCCATTTTTTTTCTTTTTAAAACCACATTTACATTGCTAATAGGTCCTATTGTTCAGTTCTGCAACACTATTGGCTGTTAAAATGTGTAAATAGGCCCGTTTATCTGGCCTCCTAGAACAACATGTGAAAGGTTAAAAAAATATTTTGCAGTTGTTTTCTAAATTTGGGTTTCTGGGGGTTAAAAAGCTAAATAAAACGTCGAGCTCCATCGTTTAAGGTTCCTTCTGCCCAGCGGTTCCACGGTTGCTAGGCGACGGAACGTTCGCCGAGGGAGTTCATGAAGGCTAGGCCTGTCCAAATTCACAGCCGTTAACATCCGGTCTACCCGGCCGACGGAGGACGCAGCCCACGTCGGCCGGGTGGGCTGGGTCCTTCGAAGGATGCAGACCCTGAATTGAGACACAGCCTTCCTGTTTCTTTGCTTCTTTCTCCAAATCCAACAGGGAGAACCTTTCAGTACGAGGTTGCTGCTGGTTCATCCGCTGTATCGGAATAAACATCTCTGTTTTTATCGTTCTCACCTTCCTGACTACTCCCACCATCATTATTAACACCATGGACAAGTTCAACGTGACCAAGCCCATCTACTATCTTAATGTGAGGCTAAGTCGTTCAGATGTTTCACTTGAAGGATTTTAAATCTTCATGAAAGTTTGTTTTCTCTTCTTAGGACCCCATCATCAGTCAGTTCTTCCCAACTCTTCTGCTGTGGTCCTTCTCTGCGTTGTTGCCTACAATAGTGTACTACTCTACACTTGGAGAGGCACACTGGAGCAAGTAATACACACACACACACTGTTAGGGAGTACACTGAATGGTTTCCATTCCAAAAGTACAATTTCCTGCTCTACTGCCTGTTTCCCAGGTCAAGTGAACAGCTGAGCATGATGCGTAAGTTGTACTTCTTCCTGCTCTTCATGGTGCTGATCCTCCCCTCGCTAGGGCTCACCAGGTAATTTTGATGAAGCTTTAGCTCACACTGAATGTAGTTGAACTTAAAAAATGCATGGACGCTTTATACTGGTGATGCCGCTGTTCGTCAAAACCTTTGAAAACATTTAGTTGGAATGCCATCTCTTGTATTAAAATTGGGATTTGAGACACTGCTTGTTCCAGGAGAAACTTAGATTATTTTTATCTGTTGTTTCTCTTTAGTCTTGCTTGGTTTTTCCGCTGGCTGTTTGATAAAACGTTTCTTGGTGGAGAAATACGATTTGAGTGAGTATCCATTTTTGTTTTTGCCCCCTGTCATTTTACCTTCTCTGAAATGATCTTCAAATGCATTTTGGAAAATTATTAGAAGGAAGTGCGTTACAGAGATAATTACTGGTTTTTGTCGTCGTCTTCCTCCGCTTGTACGGGTCCGGGTCGCTGGGGCATTATCCCAACTAGGGAGCTCCAGACCGTCCTCTCCCCGGCCACCTCCACCAGCTCCTCCGGCAGGACCCCAAGGCGTTCCCGGACCAGATTGGAGATGTAACCTCTCCAACGTGTCCTGGGTCGACCCGGGGGCCTCCTGCCGGCAGGACATGCCCGAAACACCTCGCCAGGGAGGCGTCCAGGAGGCATCCTGACCAGATGCCCAAACCACCTCAACTGGCTCCTTTCGATCCGGAGGAGCAGCGGCTCTACTCCGAGTCCCTCCCGAATGTCCGAGCTCCTCACCCTATCTCTAAGGCTGAGCCCGGCCACCCTACGGAGGAAACTCATTTCGGCCGCTTGTATCCGCGATCTCGTTCTTTCGGTCATTACCCAAAGCTCATGACCATAGGTGAGGATTGGGACGTAGATCGACTGGTAAATCGAGAGCCTGGCTTTCTGGCTCAGCTCCCTCTTCACCACGACAGATCGGCTCAGCGTCCGCATCACTGCAGACGCCGAACCAATCCGCCTGTCGATCTCCCGATCCCTCCTACCCTCACTCGTGAACAAGACCCCGAGATACTTAAACTCCTCCACTTGAGGTAGGACCTCTCCCCCGACCCGGAGTTGGCGAGCCACCCTTTTCCGGTCGAGAACCATGGTCTCAGATTTGGAGGTGCTGATCCTCATCCCAGCCGCTTCACACTCGGCCGCGACCCTACCCAGCAAGAGCTGAAGGTCAGAGCTAGATGAAGCTAGGAGGACCACATCATCCGCAAAAAGCAGAGACGAGATTCTCCTGCCACCAAACTCGACACACTCCACACCACGGCTGTGCCTAGAAATTCTGTCCATAAAGGTAATGAACAGAACCGGTGACAAAGGGCAGCCCTGGCGGAGTCCAACCCTTACCGGGTTTTATCAAATTAATTGACATCCAGTTTGTTAGATGATGAAAGGTACAAAAAGTTAACATTTTACAATTAAATTATCATAAGCAGTTCAATATCTCGGTCATGTTTGAAGGAAGGTTGCGTTCAAATAGATTTCCTTCTCAGCCGGCTTGGTGGAGGTCAGTTTTTCTCCATTCAAAAAGGCCAAAGAGGGACTCGGTCATTGTTTACAATCTGTCCCACTTCCATACATCCTGGTTCCAGAGCCAGTCATATTCGAGCCACGACGGTGAACTGATCATGTTGATAGTCACGCGTGTAACACGGACACCAAAGAACCTTCCTGATGGGGAAAAAGAAGTAATTTGCACTATTTGTTTTTGTTACGTTATAAAATTTTTGTTTAGATTATATTAACAAAACAAAATACTTTTAAATGAGAGTTTGTAACTTAGTCCATAGTTTCTGTTTTAGTTTCCGTTGTATTATGGCCAGTGTTGGGAGTATAACGGCGTTCTTTTTTAGGTAACGGAATAATCTAATTAATTACTTTTCCCGCCGTTGCAACGCCGTTACCATTACTGGGGACGGAAGGTTGTGCGTTACTATGTGCTTGTCGAACGTTGAGCAACAGTGTGAGGCTTTCTGACCGCCACACCTCAGCTGCAGCCAGGGAGAGAGAGGTGTCGGTAGCACGCTTACAAACACAATGATGATTGGCCGGGTGGGCGGGGACCCTCACTGTCTCAGTCGCTGCCTGCTGTAGACACAACAGAGCAGTGATGGTAATAACGCTGTTTAAAATAACCGCGTTAATAAAACAATATTTCTTTCTGTAACGAGCAAACTAATTAATTACGTCTTCTTTTATCAAAACGTGGTTTCTGTTACTGATCAGGAAATGTGTGCATTAAGCAGTGCGGTGTGTTGAAGCTGTCATCAGCTGATCAGGAGCTAAAGAGGTAGATGTTTTCATCCGAGCGCATCACGGCCGTGAAGAACGAGGAAGACGTGATGAATATCTACGGCTGCAGGTGTGGGTCTGCAGCCGTGCCCTTCTTAGCGTGACAGCGGGACGTCCCGAAGGTCCGCTCACCTGTTCACCGCTCAGACGTCCTGATCATCTACCTTCCTAGATCATCCAGCTGTAACCTGTTTCTGATCATGTCTTTAGTCCCGCTGTAACACTGACGCATCAGTCTCAGACGTCATGGAGCTCAGGTGTTATCAGAACTACCTGTGTGTGTTTACCACCCAGCTTCAGCTCTTCTGTGGTTGGGTCTGACCCAAGTTAGTAAATGTAAGTCCTCCATCAGGCTTGTGCCTCTTCTAGTGTCATTTTAAAGAATTATATTTATTTATTTAACTGTTACTAGATTACCAGCAACAGAAATGCTGCTAAAAACACACAATTATGTCAAGCTGGAAAAATTAGAATACTGTGCAAAATTACGTTTATTTCTGTAATTTAACTAGACTGAGAGACCATTTAAAGGCTCGGGAACCTTTACAGGTGTTTCTATTTGCAATTTAAAATTTTAGCTGATTGGGGTCTTGTTAAATATCACACAGTGACATTTTAATAGTCTAGATAAGTGTAATGCTCCTGTTAGTAGTTCCTCCTGTTAAGTGCTTATTTATTTAAATTATTCAGGTTTATAAAAAACATTTGGACTTACATTTTATTATGTTCCAGTCATTAGTCATTTATAGTGAATTAAGTTCAATTAACCCATTCTTCTAGCATTTTTTAATGAAAAAAGTAACTAGGTAGTTATTTTTCTTGGTAATTAGTTACTTTTATAATCTCATAACTCAGTTAGTAACTGAGTTACTTTTTGACAAAGTAATCAGTAACTATAACTAATTACTTTTTAAAGTAACGTTCCCAACACTGATGATGAGGTCCTTCAGCCATGTTAGCCCTATTTTACTAAATGAATTGAACTTTTAAGCAGGTCAACATCTGCATGCATTGAAAGTGATTTAAGAACTTTATTTAAATGTAACTCTTGAAGCGAAACGTTGTAATGAAGAGTCTAAGGGCTTTCTGTGTTTAGAGCATAGACTGTACATATACTGGACAATTCGATTCCATAGACTTCAATAACACGTTATCTGTCCATAATGGGAGGTGTCCACCACCGCCATTTTGACCGTGTCACAGGTTCCGTCCAGCCCAGACAATTCCATAAAAGGGAAGAGAGGAGGCGCTGAGGGTGTGGCTGTAAGGCTGGGCTCGAGTGACGACACCCAGGCGAACTAGCTACGAGCTAACCTGAAGCTAACCCTGGCTAACCCAAAGCTAAAGCGGAGGTGGGAGCCGAGCTAACGGATGTAGCCACCTAGCTTCAACCCAACCGGAGCTAACTGGAACACCCATCGACCTGAACCTTACACGGAGTTTAGGTGGAGGTTTTCTGCGCCTGTTCGTGAGAAGTACCTGTATTAAAAAAGTTTTAAATCGGTAAGTTTATAATTTATTTCCGTAATGAAAACATTTTGCTTTGAGCAAGTTTTCAGTAGTTTTTTTTGGCGCTATCACTCCTGAGTCGCACCAGCCATTAAATGTATCATGAAGAAGAGAAAATATATTTAAGTCGTATTTTGGGGGGACATTTTATTATCTTTCTTACAAAATCTGAGACCAAGCGTTTCACATTGCAACACAAGCACCGGTAACCATAACAGAATTTACAGCCAGCAGAGGAGAGGATGGCGGTGTTTCAAACCCTCCCGGCCGGCGTGTAGAGCTCATTCCTGGGCTGGAGCCGGCCCTCAGCACCCCGCCACAGGCTCTAACAGATGCTGGCGGTGTTTCATATATTTCCAAAACGTAATACTTGTTTGTATCTTGTACAGCCAACTAGCCTTTATTCTGGACTCAGTACAATTTACCAAAAGTAAAGAGACATTATACAGATGAAGTAAGCACAAGATAACTTACTGGAAGACACAGAGTTATCATCAGAACCAGAACAAGAGAGCCTGATAACAGTCATGTGAAAATAACAGTTAAAAAGTATGTATGTATAATAGAAATAAAAATATATTAGAATTAGTGTAACTCACTGTGATCCAAACAAATCAGCCATAGCTGATGAGTAAATATGACATGAGGTCTGGGAGTTTTTAAGTTTCATTCTTTTATTACATTTTTTTCTTAGATCTATTAAAAGGTCACCATGGCAGCCTGTGTGTCTCCAACGTCAGCTACACAACGCAGCGTGTAAGTTCCAAGTACTTGTCTTGACCACTTCATGAATGGTTTTGTACTTTAAACAGCTAGGCCAAACCTGTTATTTTTTCCTCCATAGCCATTTGGATCATTGAAGACAGCTGAGTGAGGCGTGGTGCCCAGAGAGCTGCAGAGACAACCTTGGCCTCCCTGACGTCTGTGTCTCTTGGTTTGGTTGGGGCGGACCATCGACTTACATACATGTGCCGACACTTTGCGCCCTGTTTTATAAAATGTAGTGTTAAAAATAAATGTTTTTGCTCAATTACTGGAATTTCTTTGGTTAAGACAAAAGTGAGGAATAATCATTTACAAGTTATTTGTACAACAGGCCCATTTTAAATCCCAACAGTTTCTTAGCAGACAATAGAAATGTGTTCTTTACTAACTTTACTTGGTTTGAAAATCTTACTAAAATAAACTTGAGTGCCGTATTGCAAAACCCAATCATACTTGTTATGTAAACATTAGCTTTGTAGATATTTTTTTACAGATATATATTTGTGTGCAACAAAAACCAAACTTAAATAATTTGTCATTCTTTATTGAAAAACAACAAAATACAGGTATACAGAAGTGTGGGAAAATGATAATGTGAAAGTATTGCACTATAAATGAAGTGAGATGAGATGAAGGTGAGATGAAGGTGGACGCCAGCGGGCTGGACGCCGGACGAAGAAACCTGGAGACGGATCGCTCAGACAGGAAGGGAAGAGCTTCCTCTTACCTTGATGGAATTAAAGTTAGCCGTCGTCTGAACGCCCAACCGTACGGTCTGAGGTCAAAGGTCACAGGAAACACACAACAGTCAGCAGTCATACAGATGCATAAAGATAACTGTAGCCATGGCAACCAGCTGACATGTCCCCACTTTCACCAGCACCTGGTGCCTGCCGGGTCACCTGAATTCCTGTGTGATGTCAGCACGGTCGGCCGTGACTGCTGCCATCAGAGGTGACCTCTGATCAGCTGAATGAACTCACCTTCCAGGGTGACGCCGTGTTAGAGTCGGCTTCATCCTGTAAACAAACAAATGAGTGGTAACATAAACACCACGTCTGGTTCTGGTGGAGGCGGAGGACAACACGCACCTTTCCAGGAGCAGAACCCAGATGTTCTTGTTGCTACAAACAGAGACGAGCAGAGTTAAACCAGGAAGTGAGAGGGACCAGCTGCTGCAGACAGGTGACGCTCACCTGAGCCTGAACCATAGGAGCCTCCTCAGCCATCAGACCTTCTGACTCCAGTTCAGATGCCACCTTGTTGATGTCCCTCAGGCGGGACTCGTTGGCCTTCAGGTCCTGCAGGACAAAAGCACCTGCTGATCACCTTGTTGCTGTCGGGTTAACAGGTCTGGTGTTAGAACGTGGTGGATAAGAATGTTCTGACGGGCCGAGGGTTCTGAACTCACCCTGCAGGACTGGGCCTGCTCCTTCAGGGCCTGGATGCTGCTGCCGTAAGCCGACAGGTCCGACATCAGGGCCTCGTGCTTCTTCAGGAGAGCCTGTGGAGCAGAACATCAGAACCTTCAGCTCGTCTGACACAAGTGGAGCTTTCTCGCAGCGATGGTCCAATCGGATCCGCCACCGTAAAACAAACCCTGCTCAGTTCACCGCAGACGCAGCTCTGCGGGTGTTTAGTGGAAAAGCGTGAGCCTTCTGCCGGCTGCCACGTGTCATGGCTGCTCTGCAGCGGGAACACACATCACAGCTTGTAAACCGTTTGAAATAAGAGCGACGGGAACACGTTTGTCATCACTTCCTGTGCGAGGCCAGCACTTCTACCCCTAACCCATGAGACGCTCAAACGAGCAACGACGTCTGGTAGACAACCGAAGGAAATGACAAATACAGAAACACTAATTATGAAGGACTGGAAAGAGAGCAAAGAAAAGCGATTGGAGTTTCTCAGGAAGGGACTTCCATACCTCGGCCAAGTCCTCGTCTTTCCCTTAGTCTGGACTTCCAACGATGGGCTCCTTCTCCCTCATCCAGGACTCGGCCTCATTAGCATCCGCAAAGTACTGCTGGGCCTGCAGAGAGTCCTCCAGGTCCTGCCTCCTCTGGGACGCCTTGGCCTTCAGCGTGTCCCAACGTCCATGAAGCTCCCACAGTTTAGTCTTCACTTCCTCACCAGCGAAGTGACCTGGACCCAAAAAAAGTGAGCCAGAACCTGCAGACACCTCAGAAACATGTCAGGACCAGACCTGCTCTACCTTCCTCCACTATGGTCTCTCCTTTCTGGGTGACAGCCTTGATGCGAGGTTCATGACCTGTGATCTCAGCCTGCAGAGCCTGGTGCTTCTTCAGCAGGTTCTGGACACCAATCAGGTCCTTCCCTTAGGACACATGTTAGAGTTCAGCATTATGCAGTAGACAGACCAGTTTAACCCAGGGGTTTCTTTCTTCTACAATCTGCTCTTTAACTGTATTATTTCCTGCTATTTCAGCTGTTAACTTTATTTTCTCTCTAAGTGTTTTTCTCCCCAGAAGAAGCTACAACGATGTTCTGCTGAGCTGTGGTGGCCTCATGGAGGGGGCCATCGGCTAGCACACTGCTGCTAACCACTTAAACATTCTCCCTCTCCTGATAATAACATTTTACTTTCTTTGATGTTGGATGTGCTACTGCTAGTTTACCCGTTTAATTATAGATTCACTAGGATAAATACAATAAAGTTTATCTCTTGCCAAATAGAATATTTACTGTGGCGAGCCCGTGAAGAGGTGTAGGAGAATGCGACAAATTTGTCTGTTAAAAAGTCTGTTATGTACAAAAACACAATATCATCACACTATTTTGGACCGATACATGACGGTCAGGTCCAGCTTGGGGAGAAAATATGACACGTCTTTCAGGATGGACTTCATCTTTGGTAGCTGGCGAAGCCGGGAAAAGCAGGATCTAACCACCTGGCTAATGTGGGAGTCCATCCGCATCTCTGGGTCCAAAACCACCCCCAGGTTAGTGATGGTTGGCTTCACTAAGCTGCAAAAACAGGGTTGCAGGACAGGACTAACTGCAGTGGGAGAGGGAGGAACAAATATTCCAGTTATAAATATTAAATATTTGAACAAATAAATATTTGTTAAAAGGAAGAAACTGATGATGACTTTAAGATTAGAGGAATGTTCTAGAACGGGTCTGGAACCAACGATGGCCCTTTGGATCAAATTTGGATTAAAAAAATAGCTCATGATTTTATTTATGGATGGAATAAAAATACAGGTTGTAAGCATCTTCTCAGTATCTTCATGTTGCACGACTTTCCACAGCAGAAGGACACAAAAACTGCCAGAATTATGATTAGAAAGATTTACGTTTTAATCTCAGAATCCCAACTTTTCCCAGAATCTTCACATTATTCTATGAATTCAGAGAAAATATACATTTTTCAGAGGTCTCGCTCCCCTGTTGTGGATATTTCTCAAAATTCAACCATTTTTTCTTTTCAAAAGCTTTAGTAAGAGTTTGGACTCTAAACAAGTTTTACTTTGCAGACTGCTTGTCTAAACCTTCATCAGATCTGCTCATAATAAAACATTTGGGTTATATTTAATGCCCAGGAAGATGCTCTTCCTGGGCATTAAGTTATCAAAAACAGATAAAATTATTTTTTACCATAATTTTAACTGCTATCAGCTGATAAAAATAATAAAAAACAGCCTGATCATTAAAGGGGTGTAAGTGAAACCGCGCGGATCACACAAACCATCATGCTGTCTATATGACTTTGAAAATATATAGTTTAATTACAGTTTGATTTATTTGACATCTGTATAATGTTTATTATTTTGTTTTTTCCCCCTAAATGCCTAACGTTTCAGTTTAACATGAATATTAGTCATTCATCACAATACATAAAGTTACACATTTTAAATTTTAATAGGGGAAGACTGCAGGAGGGAGCGGTAAAATACAGAAATCCCCAGCAAAAACAAGAAACTTTACGAGTCTGATGAAACCCGCTGGAGTTCCTTCAGCAGGCCTGGTGGCAGCTACAACGGCCCAGTGGCTGTGCTTGGTCAATGTTATCGAGCTCAGTCCGGCTCGGCCGTGAACGAGCCGAGGCGACATCCTGCTCTGCTTAAGAAGAGGTGTTATTTTCCGCTTCAGAAGAAGCGTCCGTGTTTTACGCTTTCTCAGAGACATGTCACGTTGCTAAGTTGTTAGCGCCGCGCGCTAACACGTCAATAGTGCAGCATAGCCTGCTGGAGGGTTCAGATGAAAACACCCTACCACTCAGGCTGCTTACACATCGATATTAAGTTGTCGCTGTTGCGCTCACGCCGTAATACAGTATTAGATGCGGTTAAAGTCAGACATGAAAAACTCCACGAGCGGTCAGACCGCGCAGCAGCTAGGCGCAGCAAGTAGGCGCCGGATCGGTCAGGCTGCCCGGCCTGAACGCTGGGGATTACCGGATGGAAGAATGGACACAGAAGTCTCCCTCTTAGCGCTCCGTCATATTTCAACCCATTTTTATCTTAAATGCACTGGGTTTTACCCTATTACCCATCTAAATATGCCCTATTAATTATTTTACCGTATTTTACATTTAAATTTCATGGTTAAACAGTACATGCTACATGTTAAACTGATAGTTAGCTAGCTACTTCGGTAAACTCAGATAGTTTAAAGGTAGCAGTGACATAAAATACGAATATAGATTTTAACTTACCGAAAAAAATGAAGTGGAGACTCCTTGGACGCTCTATTAGTGCAATTAATACCACTGCAAGTCATTTTGTCCAACAATTGCACCAATAATATCCAAAGAAGAATACACAAACACAGAGACTCAAAATGCCGGAGCAGTTTCCAAGCCAGACCGAGGCTGTACTGAGGCCTTTCCACGGAGCTAGCTCTGTGGTCACGTGGGTCTGAGGCGGCGGTCACGTGTGTCGGATGCTCATTAATTATACAGAATTTTAGGCTTTCAATACACTTAAACAGAAGAGTGAGAAAAAAATTCACCCCCCTCAGAGTTGTCATGAGTATAAACTAGATAATTTAGACAAAAAACATGTTTTGGCACCAGGCTGTAAACATGTTTATTTCTGCTGTGAAATCGGCATTTTTAACATGGGAGTCAATGAGGATTTGCTCGCTTCTGGCACCAGCCCCCAGCGGATGAGGGTGGAACTGCAATTTTTCTTACTTCCGGGATGGGACCATTTTCTGAGCGGCATTGTGGGGGCTTGGTGTGTATGTGTGTATATGTATATTATATGTGTATATATGTATATGTATATTATATGTGTGTATATGTGTATGTATATATATACATATATAATTCATTGTTTTTTACAGGTTTCTGCAAGATTAAAAAGGTTTAAAACAACTGTAGTTTTCTTTTTCTATTAAATTATTTTCCTTTGTATTCTCCTTAATTTGTCACAATACAATACATAAATGTAAGTGCGATGTTTAAGTTTTAGACTGAATAGAAATAAATATAGCTGCGTCATTTTACAGCCCTGTTCCGAATCGAGCGTCACTCTTTAGTATCGCGAGATTTGACACGGGAAGAACGGTCAAGGAAAAACATGGCTGCCCGCGGTGTGCTGAGGTCTGTTTGGGCCTCATTTACAGGCTTAAAACTAGGTGCTGGGGTCACAAACACTAATTCGTTTATGAAGGTTAATGTTCCCCAGCTTTCCGCTTTAACCATCCCGAGCAGAGGAGTTCGTCAAGGTGAGGTTTATATATAAACGTTACGATTTTATCCGGCTAGTCATGTTAGCATGACGCTAGCATGCTATCATAACAGCCAATGATTTTTATAATGACTCTTGTTTTGATCAGGTTTTGGTTTATATTCCTATTTTGTTCTGTAATTGAGAAATCGTGTTTGTGATCATTTGTTTTGAACGACATTAATGAGTCAATGTCACAATCTAGATGTTTAATTGCTAATCAGTCATTTCTTTACAAAGTCAAACTCTACTGTACGGTCACTATTAATAATCATGTTTACGAACGTTTTTGTAAACTAAACATATTTGTATATGTATTTGTAGTTAAACAAACAACAATAAAACAACTGTTTTAGGTAGGAAACTGGCTGCTTTAGAATATTAGTAAAAGCTTGAGTCCGTTTTGATAAAACCATAAGAAAGAGCATCATTAGAATTAATAAATAAAACATTTTACATATTTATCAGAGGCTCATTATTGCTTGCATTAAGCTTTAATATGTTTTATCAGAATTTGTCAACCATCACAGTTTAATGCCTAATATGAAACATTAATATTTTCACAGTTGTGGAGAAAAGAGAAGGCAACACCACATCTGTAAGTATATCCGACTGCAACTCCAAGCATCTAGACTTTGTTTTCTCAGGGTTTTCTTAATTTATTTTTTGTTTATTAACTAAATATATGAAACATATTAGTTTTCCAATTATCAGAGTAATAACGCTCAATGTCCAGAATAGTTTCAGTATTCCTTTATTCTGTCAAGAAGCATCAGTTTAGTGGCGTAACGCTTGTTCTCTGGTAGATCGAGGGACAAATCATAGACTTACCAGCTGCACCTCAACCTCCAAATCCCACAGCAAAGTGTCCCATCTACAGGTGGAACCTGCAGCACAAGTACACCTACACTGTAAGTACTACACACTTTGACCTTGATGGATTTTCTGTGATCATTTAGATATTTGATTTCTCTTGGTTGTCTTCTTCCTTTCCAGGATGTGTTGCTGCTTCGTCAGTTCATCAGGTCAGATGGGGGAATGCTGCCTAAGAGAATCACTGGTCTTTGTCCGGAGGAGCATCGCAAGATAGCCATATGTGTGCAGATGGCTCACAGAGCAGGTTGGTGTTAAGTTAGATTTACAGCTGCTGTCTTTGCCTGTTTAATATTTACTTACAAATACTGGGAAGTTAGTGTCATGACTGAGTCATCTGGGTTGTCAGAAATTAGACTAGACTTCAAATTAAAGGTGGTCTGGTGTATTTTGTCTATTGACAACTTTTGTATTTTTGACAGGGAACTTAATTAAGCATGAATTTGAAATCATCCAAAATAGGCAATCATAAGGAATTAATCATAGTCAATCATCAATAATTAAATTGTTCTGCCCAGATGGTCGTCAGCTGGTTAGTTTTTTCTAACTTTCATTAATCGTAGCATTTCTAAATTTTTATCGTGCTTAAAGTTAAATTCTACATCAGAGAAATAAATGAAAGGGTTGGGTGAAGCACATCGGAGACCAGAGATTCCCCCAGGTTGCTCATATTGCTGCTGTCATGCTTCAGTTACTAGCCTAACTATATTAGCAGATCCCTGTCTGACTCCGAAGAGGCAGTTGTGGTCAGGATCAAATCAGCTACAGCTCTTCTGGGCTTTGTTTGATTTGATTATTTGACGCTGAGTAATTCTCATTTCAGCCTGTGTGGATCTTAAATGCAGAGGCTGCAATGAGCTCCACAGATGTTTTGCCTCTGATAATGCATCTTGTGTTAGGAGATGGAACGACTGTAAGGATGAAGTTGTGGCTTTAACAGCATGATTATATTTGAACGTGCATTCATAGATCTGATAACGTAGGGTTGGGCATCGAGCATCGATTGGAACCGGTTCCAACTGTTCTTTTTTCCCGGAATCGTTCAAAGATTTTATTTCGATTCCTAGTATGCCGACGGAAGAGGAACCCGTGGCCGATCTCCATGAAAAATTAACGTGATCTGCAAATTGTGATCAGCGCTTTTCAGAGCTGATCACACCAGCTGTCTGTGTGCAACCATTTATTTATTTTACTGTATTCAAGGTCTGCTTCCTGATCACAAACCCAAACTTCCAGAGGGTCATGTCCCCAAGAGGCCCACGCTGAACAGGTGCTGCTCTTCTCCAGCATCCGCATTCATCCTCAGCACTTTTAACCCTGCATAAGAATTCCTTTAGATCTCGTGTTTCCTTTGCAGGTACTTGACTCGCTGGTCCATCGACTCGGTGAAACCCATCTATAAACGTGGACTGAAGTGGCGTAAGAACCTCATGGATGTGGGTCACCCAGCACTTAAGAACAACGTGCGTTATGGTATAAAGCCACTAAGCTTCAAGCACTGAAGGACAAAAAGCCTGACAGATGTGCACAACAGCCGGTGGAGGATGAACCCATCACTCAGTGGAGCTGTGGAAAATCCAGCTTTTCTTTTTTTTTTTATGGACAATGTACCTGGATTTATGTCATGGTGGCATGCAAGAAAACGCAGAGGCATTCATTTAAACTTTTATGAACATTGGCCACGAAATGGTATCCTGAACAAACGTTTCAATAAAACCAGCCTGTTTGCCTCCTCCTGCTGTGTAACAATACTTTTTATTAACAACTAATAAAAGGTAGAATAAACCAAACTGCACAACTCTTGGTGATTAAAAGAACGCCACGCTAAAGAAAAAGAAGTCTACTAAATCATATGAGCAAGGTGTACATTTTTTTGCCCGTCGCCGAAGTAGATGTATCCGTGGTGCGGAGTCGTCGGCACGTGGTAGAAGGCCAAACCAAGCCATAGGAGGCTGCTGAGGATGTACACTTTATCGTCACTTTCCCATTGAAGAGACCATGATCCTAAATAAAAAAGAAGAATAAACTTAACACTAAATAGTTTTTTATTGTTAAGCTAGAGCTTTAACGTTGATCTCAGTGATTGTTGAGTTAGAAACTTGACCAGTTTCATATTAGACACCACTCTGCAGCCCTCTGCTGACCAGATACTGCACTAAACAGTTTAATGGAGCGGGTAGGTGTTCCACTGGGGGCGCTCTACCTTCTTTACAGCTGTTATGCTAGCAGATAGCAATTTCAGCACAAGAAGAAGAAAAAAAAAGAAGTTAGCCTTTTTGTTGCTATCATGGCAGAGCCTGGAAGTAAAAGTAGGAGAATAATGTCTTTGGAGAAGAAGCAAGGAGCTAAAACAAACCAGAGAAAACATCAACGCAGCCTTTAATAGTTGGCGGTGGCCAAAGGAGGCTACAGATTCCTGGACTGATGGTGGCCTGGCTTTGTTGCTACAGAACTTGTAAGTAATAAGTTTTATCCAACAGTGTGGATTTATTTACTTTGTGGTTTATTTTAGTATTAGTTGGCGGATGTTAGCTCGTTTGTAGTGCTAGCGACAGCAGGTTGTAGCAGGGTTGTTTACAACAGTTGTAATTCCGCTTTCAACCAGTAGGGCAGAGGAGCAGGAAATTGCTCAGCCTGACTTTTTTTGTCCGAGACCACCATCTAGAGGTGGAAAAATGTACATTAAGCTCCCCTCCCTACTTACTTCCATGCACCTCTAGCTGAGAAATAGAAGTAAAACACATGGATTTCTATTACTATTCTCATGTTATGCTGATTATTCATAAATATATTTGAAATACTTCTCTATAAGTCTAGGTACTTCTGCAATCAAGCAGTGATTGACATCCCTACATGTCTTAATGCCATTGACAAAGTCTGAGCGGTGCTCGGCTCAAATTGCATGGGACTCTATGTGATGGGGCGGGTCTAGCTGAAAATAAAATGGAGTTTTGCCTGCATTAAGTCACAGAACAGGGTAAGACGATCACTTTCATCATACATAATCCCTCAAAGAGGAAAATCCCTGGATTTTGCCTTGGAATGTTGCCGTACATATATGCAGT